TGGGGAATGATGTGGGATTGACGGATCCACGGGTCGAGATGAAAGGGGAAAGAGAAGAGACATATCTCGCCGGAGTGTGAGGAAGAACCGACGGAGCGTGAGAGGTTTGGCCGTTACGGTGTCGTTTTGTGTCGTTGACGAGACGTCTGACGATTCCTCTGTAAGCAAGCCTCCTTGCGCGCTCCATGGAAGTGGATATAAGAAAGGGAAAATGAGGAAGAAGTTGGTGAAAAACAGAGATTTGAGGAAGGTGGTGACTTTTTTTTTGTTTTTGTTTTTCTAGATTTCCGCCATGGAAGGAAGCTGGTGGAGAGGAGAGAATCTTGAGGAGAGTATATGTATATCACTGACCGTTGTAAAGAATATGTATATTTTATGTTCACAAGAAAATGTGTGTTTATATATATAGTGGAAAATTTTAATTTAAGAAAAAAAGGTTTTTTAAGTGTTTAATTTTGTGGATCTCTTGTAAATGGTGAAGGCTTGGGATGGGGTTGGTGAAAAGTATCCAACCATTTGTACAGATTCCACGTGTATCGCATCTAATCCAATTGTACCATATTCTGATAATCATTTTATAAAAAAAAAACGTTAATGACTAAATTAAATTAATTTTTGATATATTTTGATTTTTTTTTCATTATTTGTTACTTGCCGACATTTTGAACAAGTTAATTTATATATTAATCAACATAAAATATTTTTTTATAGATGAACTTAGTAGGTTTTATAACACTAAATTTCCAAATATATTATATAAATCGGTTCGGTTTCGATTTTTTTTAAATATACAAAATAATTCATCTTGATTTGATAAGTTATAATTTGGTTTTCTAATTAATTATTTTTAGTTAACTTTAGTATGATATTGATTATGTTAATCAGTTTCAATATCCTTACATACCTATGTTTAAGTTTGATGATGACACAAATTCACTAGTTAAAAGAGAGGATACATATTTTGAAATAAAATAAAAGCAATAGCAAAACCTTAAGATAATTACATGAAGTATACATAATTGCGGGAAATGCTGTAAATATCGAGATAAAATTTGAAAGGAGGGGAAGTGAAGTGGAAGAGATTGGGATTGGGTGGACAAAACTGTATATCACTTTTGAAAAGAGAAAAAAAATCAGAAAGATAGCAACAAAGAAATGGATACATGGCAAAGAAATTATAATTATTTTGGTTCACGTGAAAAAAGAAGATAATTTAGGTGGCGGAATCTCTTTCACTGATAGTTTATCGCCACAACAAGG